CCCATTTATGGCAACACATGCTAATCACTGCAACACACTGCAAGACTAAAACAAAAAAAGTAAAACAATATCAGACATATCTCAATAAACTCAAATAATTTAGATTCACATCTATCAGAAGACACCATATAGCTTTTGCTTCAATTTTACTGTTTTGCTAGCCTGTGATGTAAACACCTCCTGTGAAATATAATATCCAAATGATTTAATGACAATTAGAAAAGCAGACAGCTATGAAAAAAATAACATTTTCAAATGAACTGATTAAAAAAGTATCTCAAACCTCAAGCCTACTGCATGAGTGAGCATTCCTTATTCACAGTTGCATTATAAAGCAAAATGGAAGGATACAAGTTGCAATCATCAGGTATCCTCTACAAAAGTAATTTCCTTATTTCACCACCTTTCTTCCTTAATGCAAGTTTCCTGCATTGTTCTTTTGTTCAGACACCGAACACCTTCTCAGACAGCGTGCTAACGCAGCCTTTGCAATCTCTCCTTGGAGCTTGCAATGACTAAATGACGGGGAATTTCCCGGCTCCGTGCCCCGGTGCCCAGGCCGCTCCACCTGCCCTGCCACAGCAGCCGGGGGCTCTGAGCGCGCTGCCGCAGCCTGGGCGAGGATGCTGCCATGGGTCCCCGCCAAGGCCTCGCGTCCCTCGCCCAGCGTGCGGCTGCTGCGGGCCAGGCGGCAGCGACCAAGGGCAGCGGCCCCGCAGCGCGGAGGGACGCGCCACAGCAGGCGGCCGCCGCTCCGGTGCGCGACGGGCGGCAGGGGCACCCCGGGCAGCGGCGGGAACAGCCCCGAGCAGCCCCGGGAGCAGCCCCGGGCGGCGGCGCTGCCCGCGCTGTCCCCCCCCGGTAGCGGAGCGCGGACGGACGGCGGCCCAAGGCCGCGCCGCGGCTGCCGCCGGGCCCGGGCCGCGCCCGACGAGCGGCAGGGGGCGCCCCGCAGCCCCGCTCCCCCCGCCGCGCGGACCCCGGGGGAGGGGAGCGCTCCGCCGGGCTCCGCCGCTCCCCCGCTCCGAGCCGCCCTCGGCACCCCCGCGCCCGCCCGGGGCCTCACCCGCTGCTGTCGCTATGGACACCGTCCGCGGCTCCCTGCGGGATCTGGCGGCGAAGAGGTGAAGGACGGCGGGGCTCGGCGCGGCCGCGGCACGGGCCCCACTCCGGCCGCTCCCGCCGCATGGAGGGGGAAGGGCTGGCCGGAGCGAGGGGAGATGAGGGGGCGTGGAGGAGCAGAGCCAGGACGGGACGGGATGGGGAGGGATGGGGGAAGTGCGGGCGCGGAGTTCAGCGCCGACGGGAGCGCGGGGGCCGCTGCCGCCGCCTCATCGCCGCCCGCGCCGCACCGGGCCCGCGCCGCCGCCGCCCGGCCGCCGTCGCCCGGCAACGCGCGCGCCCCCGCTGCCGCAGGCGCGCGGCTCCGCGCGGCGCCCCGCGCGCTCCCGACGCCAGCGCACGCGCAGCCTCGCGCGCGGCGGCGCGCGCCGGCCTCCCCTCCTCCTCCTTCTCCTCCTGACGGCAGGGGGCGCTGCAGGCGGGAACGGGAACGGGAATCGGGAACGGGATCGGGGAACAGGGACAGGAACGGGGAACGGGGAACGGGAATCGGGAATGGGATCGGGAGAAGGGATAGGGACGGGCACGGGGAAGGGGAACGGAGAACGAGGACAGGATCGGGAACGGGAACAGGGGACGGGAACGGGGGCAGGGACGGGCACGGGGAACGGGAACGGGGAACGGGAATGGGATCGGGGAACGGGGACGGGGATGAGAATGGGAACGGGAATGGGGACGAGGACAGGGGAACGGGAACCGGGGACGGGATCGGGGAACAGGGATGGAGAACGGGGACGGGAACGGGATCGGGGACGAGGACGGGAACGGGAATGGGGACGGGGACGGTGACGGGCACCGGCAGCAGCGGCTGCCCGCTGGGGAGCAGCGATCGCGGGGCCGAGCCACGGGGTGGCTGTAGGGTCGGGCTCCGGAAGGGAACGGGAGAAGGGAAATGTGTCCCTTGACGCTGTCCCTCCGCCATCCCATCCCCTGCTGAAAGAGCAGGAGGAGGCTCGGGAGGGCAGAGGGGTGCCGGGCTGTTTATTGCAATATCGTGTTCTCCCAGGTTTGCAGTCACGGGCTTGGAGGATGAAATAAAGGACATGACCAAACGCGGGTATATTTAGGCACACCTTTGGGATGGGCCAAGATTAACATGTGCTGGCACTTAAACCTTTACCTAGGTAGGATGCTCCGGCACAGGATTAATAAAATTTGCAAATACTTTAGGCTTTGTGTAAAACATTGATATTTAAGGACCAGATGCTTTAAAGATCTCAGTGTTAGCATGTAGTTGCTTCTGTCAGTTTCAGTGTTGCTGTACCTCCAGCTTCCCAAAGCATTCTGAAACCAATACCAGCTTTCCCTTAACATATGAAATTGGGGTGACCACTCAGAGAAAAAAATCTGTAAAATGTGAAGAGTATGTTTTGCAAGCTCAAAACCCCAATGGGATACAGAAAGAATCTATTTCCAGTTCAGAAACTCAGTAATTCAAAGCAAATTTCATTACTTGGGATGCACCACTTTGACTCATCCGTTTTCTGATATTTAGGTTTGACAATATTGCTGCACATTCTGCTTATGGTGGTGACTTGTACCTAATCCAGCAGGATATTAACCCAAGTTCAGTTCTGTTGCGTGTTTTACTGGGGGCTCTTCTCCACCAGTCTTTAATATCTAATATTTCTTTAAATGCTATTTATTTCATAACACATGTTGCACTTTAAAAAAAATGCAGTTAGAATATCAATATTTAATAGTTCAGTTATAAGGGCCCTACATTGCATCACTACGTCCAGACTTTTAGAATTAATTTCTGTAGCTGGGATAATTATCTAGGGAGGAAAAAAACATTTCCAGTTGGAATTGTTCTGAACTAGATTTGTTGTCATAATGCTAAAGTGTATGGACTGACATTAGACTGTTAAATGGAAGTAGCTGATATTTGCACAAAAATTCAGTCTGTGCTCAATGAAGTAGGGGAGTATTTTAACCTTGGTTTCATTCTGCATAATCCTGCAACTTGTTTTGAAATCTGTTTGCCTGTTGGCTCTTGGTTTAAAAAGGATCAAACAACAACAAGAAGGTTGAATTTTCCAGGATCAGCTGAAATATTTTTTTCAGTGTCAGTTTAGTCCTAAGTACCTTAGCTTTCTTTAAAAAATCCAGTCCACATGCCGGGAAAAACTGATCATTATTTGCATCCCAAAATTTATCAAAGTTTGTAAATAGCACCAGAATAAATAATACATACCAGTGCAGTGATTTCAGATCATATAAAAAACTGTCAGACCCACTTTGTCTAAGAGAAAAACTGAAACACAGACGTTGAAACACCTGAACAAAGCCATGAAGCACAAATTGAATGCTACCAATTTGTATGTGCTGGGACTGCAAGTGTCAAACTTTTTGACTGTTTTGAAGTGCTTTGAAATGTGAAGATGTAATATTTTCTCTCCTTTTTTAAAACATGGAGAGGAAAAATAACTGCTAAGGCTTGTGGGTGGGTTTACTTCCTAAGAACTTCCAACTGATTTACAACAGTTTGTGAAGTGGTTTTCTTAGTGTCATTCAAAGCAGAGTAAAGGAACAAGTTGAACTTGCATTTTCATTTTCAGCCCTCAACCTTTTAGATTAGCCTGTAAAAACAGGAATCAAAAAATAGGATAAGCAGTGCAAAAATAGGCTGGGATTCTCATCACTCCTGTTTGAGGGCATTTTCCTTCTCTCCCTCTTGTCCTCACCCTGCCTGCTCTCCCTCCCTCACTGTCTTAGCAACAAGATTCACTGGCTGACTGTAGCTAACTTGTCTTCTACCCCCTCAAACCAATTAGTTCATCTATTTAAATCATGCATCAAAGAAGCCTCTCCCCCTTTGAGCACACAGCTCACTTAGGGCTCAATCCTACAACCTTCAATTTTTATGGCAGTGAGAGTTGGCAATTGACTCAGATTACATGAGGATAAGACCTTATATGTTCTAATATCTTTACGAAATCTGTAGCGTGATGAAGAGGATGCTGGTCCTGTCACTGTTTTCTTTCATCTACCTTTTTCTTTATTTGAAGAACACAACAATATAGGGAAAAGCCCTTAAGTTATGAAGAAAGCAAATAAAACATCTATTCACGTCGCCCTGATTTTTTTAAGATTTTCTGAGCCTTCTGATGTTTACATTCTTGTAACAAACTTTCTCACACATTTTCTGTAAATAACTTATTGTTTTGCATTCTTTTATGGAGGAGGAGAAATTTGATGGACTCTTGGTTTGTCCAGTGTCATTGGAGAGGTGGCACTTTCACCCTCCAATCCACTGTCACTTTTGGAAATCTATAAATATTGGAGTCAGAAAATAAACTTCCCCCTTTTTACCTTGAGAACAGCAGTGTGTGCGTGTTGTGTTATTTCGTGTCCTGTAGTGACATCCACATAACCTCTTCTATTCACAAATGCTGCTTATTCATTATCAGTTCCAGAAACTTGCAAAGGTTGGATTTGGTGAGCAATTAGAACATTCAGTAGAAAACTCAGAGCATCCAGGAGAAAACAGCATTGTAGTAGTCAATGCCTACAGCATCCCTTTTTGTCAAAGCTTTTAATCAAAATCACGAACCCATCAACAGTCTTTTAGTGCATATTTTAACGAAATACTAAACACTGCACAGATCTCAGAAGGAAGCCTCCTGCTCTTTTTGCACTCCTAACAACCTCTAGCATAATGAGGTGTGACAAATTGATTTAAAATGTAGTTGCAGGAAGAAGGGCAGGCGAGCTTTGCTCTGCCTTGTGGGTGTTGTAGTCGTTTTGCAGCTTCTCTGCCTGGGCAGCAATAGGAGCCCGGACTCGAAGTCCCACAGCTCCCGCTAGAGTCTGCCGCACAGGCTCAGAGCCCATATGCGAGCAGGGGGTGACTACATTGTGTCTATTGTATGGTTTTTTTGTTTTGGTTTGGTTTCGGTTTTTTTTTTTTCCCTCGGGCATTTTGCACGTTTCACGGGAGGCGTAAACCGGGAGTAAAAAGCATGGCAGATGAGCAAGAAATAATGTGCAAACTCGAGAGCATCAAGGAGATCAGGTATGTTTGCTTTGTGCCCCATCGGTTCCGTGAAGCAGCTTTTTCCTCGGGGGAGCGGACGAGTTGCATCGATCCGAAAGTAGCTATTGTGCTACTGAGGGAAAGAAAACTACCGCTGCCTTCACGACGAGAGCTCAAAATACATTTTTCTAAGCAGGGAGGGAGCATCTGCTGCTGGGAATCGCGGCTGGAATGCGTAGTGCAGGGCGGTAATGGTCGTGCATTTGCAGAGCGCAGCCCCGAGTGATGGCACGGAGAGAAGGCGGAGTGCGCGGGGGGAAGGACCGAGCGGCTGCGGGGGGAGTGGTGTCGGGCCGCGGCTCTGGAGGGTTTCACTGTTGTTTGTTTGTTTGTTTTTAAGTCGTTTGAATTAGTATTTCATATTCATGAGCCTCTGAATCTGTTATTTTGCCCCACTCACTCCCAGGCAGGAGCCTTTTCGGGCTGAGAAGGAAGCGGGGATGGCAAGGACAGCAGAGTCTGACAGCCAAATCCAAGGGTGGACGTGCCTCGGGCAGGACAGGGCTGGGCAGCGCTACAGGCACCGGGGTGCAGGACAGCCATCTGTCCATCCATTTATCCGTCTGTCCGTCCGTCCGTCCCCCGCGGAGGGCGGCGGTAGGGCAGGGCCCTCCGGGGAGCGGTGGATCCGTGCGGGATGAGAGGGGAGCGGCTGAGCTTTGGCTCCTTCTCGGTCCCTGCCCTCTGTCCCCTTCGGCCAAAGGCGGGGAGCGACAGAGGGAGCCCCGCGGAGATGTCCCTGCCTGGTCCTGCGGCCGCCGCCCGGGGATGGGGACACACCGGCGATGGGGACACACACCGGGGATGGGGACACACCGGACACACCGGGGATGGGGACACACCGGACACACCGGGGCTTTTTCATCCGTGCCCTCCTGCCACAAGGCCCGAGGGCTGCTGTTCATGCCGTGCAGAACACCGGGAATTTGTTACAGCATCCTTTGTAGGCTGAGCTGCAGGATGCTGTGGGAGAGGGGGCTCATTGAAAGCCGGGCAGGGTACAGCACGTTCCTTCGAATGAGTAAACAGGTTTATTTACAGGTTCCTTCATCAGGAACCTTTTTCATAACTTTAGGCAGGGCGTTTCCACTCCTTGGTTTAGGGCACCGATTTCCAGCATTAGGCCTGAGCTCTGTTTGGTTGGAGCCAAAACACCTTAGAGAGAATGGTTTTGAATGCAGCTGGGAGGCGGAAGGCATGCTGACTGTGAAACCCCAGAGCCATGAGAAGTGTTTGGGACGTGACAGCCAGAGAGGGCTGGCAGAGAGAGAGGAGAGAGGGCTGGCAGAGAGGAATCCCAGCTGCCAGGTGATCACAGGCACTCGTGGCTGGTTACAGCATCTCGAAGGAGCACACTTCATCCGTGGAACAAGTGAATTTGGCAGCAGAGTATGGGCCTCAGCCTTCTTCACACAATACTACAGAGGTGAACAAAGATCAAGCAAAAGTATTTGTCTGTCTAGTATCCCCAAACTATTTGTAGAAGGAGATGTGACAGTGTAAGAACGATGATTTTGTACTCAACTGGTACACAGGCTCTGTTTTAGAAAACAGATCTAACTATGGCTTACTACAGTGTGTGGTCCAATTACTGTAACACTTAAATTAATTTTTCAGTGAGAGTAGTATCCTGTATTTGGAAATTTACAGTGCATTCAGTTTTCTGATCACATATTCAAAGGTGGTGAATTAACTGCACTTGATGGATTTTTGCTATTATTTTGTGGTATGAGGTAGAACAAAGGTGATGTTTAGCTTTAGTGTACAATGAAGTATCAAATAAGTTACTTGAGTGTATTTTAAATTTAAAAAAATCAGTGTCAAAAAGCCAGTCCTACTTGCAACATTGATGTCTATTTTGAGTCACCTTTAACAAAATCTGATGAAATAAACCTGTTTACGCATTCGAAGCTTGCATTCTGTGAAGAATTTCCTTCAAGATAAACATGAGATCTCCTTATGTTTACAGATTCACCTTTGATAGGTTTGGCAGACTTTAATTGGCATTTCATGAATTCTATGGACAGAGGGGAAAGAAGTCTTCATGAACAAAATCAAAGAACTTGCCCATTTTTATATTTGATCTCTATTATGTATTATGATACAGCTTAGCTGGGTTTTGAAGGGATGTGGGAATCTGATTTCGAATCTGGACTCTGATCTCTATATCCATATCTGTATCTATAGATAAATACATATCATTTGTAGTCAAGGGAATACTTCTTTCAGTAAACCCACTGGATGCCCACAATCCAAGCATATATGCACATGCTTATTTATATGCATGCTTATTTAAATACTTCCCCAGAAATAACCCACTCATAAAATTAGGTAAATACCTAAAGACTCAGTGTTCTGACTGGGAGGAGACACAAGAGAATAAGAGTGAATTTACTGATGAGAGATGCAGACACATGTCATAAATACAAGAGAGGAAACAGAAATTTTGTAATTGTTCTGTTTTAAATCTCCTTTGTTCATATTATCCCTGCCAGACCACCTGCTTCTGAATACATATTGTATGTAGAAGTTTTTTATGGTACTGTTTTTATCTCTTGCAGCTTTATAAACTCCTGAAATGAGAGAGGGAGGAAGCCAGGTCACATTACTAGCTATGACACTTGGAATATGAAGCCATAATTAATTGTCCAAGTGACTGACCCTGCTTTCTGCCATGCTCTGTCAAAACCTGACAACATTCTATTAATTTCATAATTCAGTACAAGGATTCTCTTACCACTGAAGAGCTCAGCAAAAGAGCTAGCATTGGAATTCAGTATTCTCCTTGTACCTCACCTTCTCTCAGACTCATTTAGTCTCATTCTTGTCTATTGCTGCTATTCTTTCATCTGTCTAATCCCATATAAACTGACACCTCACAAAAATGTGTCAATGACTTACTGATGTCTCTCTATTTTTAATTGTCACTGGGATTCAGGAATAAGACTTTGCAGATGGAAAAAATAAAGGCAAGACTGAAAGCAGAATTTGAAGCCCTGGAGTCTGAGGAGAGGCACCTGAAGGAATATAAACAAGAAATGGACCTGCTGCTGCAGGAGAAGATGGCTCACGTGGAGGAGCTGAGACTGATCCACGCTGACATTAACGTGGTAAGTGCCAGCCCAGCTCAGACTCTGACTCAGACACAGCTGCATGTGAATCATCCCACAGCTTGTGGAATTGTGCACACGAGTGAAGCATCACTGGTTCAATAATGTGCACTTTACAACACCATCCTGGGATCCTACAGAGAGCACAAAGTAAATATACCTCAGGATAACTGCTTTTTCTCTTTGTAGGGCAGGATATTTTATAATGCTGCATAATAAGCTGTTGCACTGAGAGGATAGATAAGATAACCAAGGCTGTTGTGGCTATGACTTTGCCAGTAACCTCAGTGATACCACTCCAGCTGTCCCACAGAAAACAGTTCTTCCTGTTAGTCCTTTCTCATTTAGCATCCAGAAACAGAGACTTTGGCAGCTAGGTGGGACAAGGAGATTTTGAGAAAATACATAGTGTTTGTTAAATTCATAGTAAGAGCTGACCTTCATCCCAGAGTGGAATCACCAAACATCAAGAAGCACCAGCCTGAAGGGAATTAATACAAAAAAGAGACAAAACAATTTATAAACAGGGAAGATTAGCCAATTAGAGGGACTGAATAGGGAATATATTTTTAAATACATATTTTATGTCGTGTTAGGGCACTTACATGGGGTTTTTAGCTCTCAAGGTATCGATGTTGCACTGGAAGAAAAAAGCTCCAACAAGTGAAAAAAGTACAAGCTATGTACTGGATTTGCAGACTACATTTATTTATGATTTCAAATGTCTGCTCCCCGTCCAGCTGCATAACCTCAACCCCTCTTTCATCCTCCTCTCTTTGTGCAGTCAGATTGTCTTTTTCCCTGCTGCTTTTCCCACTTGCTGCAGTAAGGGAAGCAAAAACCTTTCCTTAGCTTGTTTGTTAACTTCTGCCAGTCAGTGTTCAGGTATCTTAGAAACACAGAAGATTAGTTTATGTTACTTTAAGCTCTTTTTTAGTGTCTCTTGAGAGTCTTCCATAGCTCCTCACTTGCCAGCTTTATTTGTAGCCTGTCTCTCTGCTTTTTCTGTTGTTCAGAAGGTCCTATAGGTTGAGTGCACTTTTTAAAAATGAAAATGCATCTCATATATCACTCTCTGTTGCTTTTCCTTTACCCATTTTTCATCCTCCCAATACCTTAAGTCTTTGCTTTACTATTGCATTGTCTCAAATCTCTTCCAACTTGAGTGAGAAAAATCTCCTCTTTCTGGCACAATGTGTTGCTCAGTCAGAGAGGAACAGTTCTTTAAAAGCATGCCCAACCTGCTGTTTCAGATGGAGAACACTATCAAGCAGTCTGAGAACGATCTGAACAAGCTCTTGGAATCCACTCGCCGGCTCCACGAGGAGTACAAGCCCCTCAAGGAGCACGTGGATGCCCTGAGGATGACTCTGGGTCTGCAGAGGCTGCCAGACCTGTGTGAGGAGGAAGAGAAACTGTCCCTCGAGTAAGTCTCCAAAGCAAACATTATCTGGCTTTATGCTTTCTTTCAGTTCTACTGGTCATTTTCTCGTTTTAATTTTGTTGGTAGGTGGAAAAAAACAACCCAAGAGGTAGGCATGAAAAACAGAAGTTAACAAAAAAGGGATGTGGAGGACATGTGTTTGATAACATTCAGTCTGAATTTGTTTCAAGTTAAATTTAGGTTATTCCAAACTGCAAACCCTACATACCACATGCAAACATTTAAGGGTGGTTGTTGGCCTTCTAGGTTTCATACTATATGTTGCTTTTTCTATATTTTTATTTTTTCTTGAAAATTACTTCTTTAGCAAGCAATAGTAGGAGGCAATACATGAGAGGGATACAAACCAGGTATTCTTCAGTTGGGTTGTGCTGCTCCTAGTCAGAGTTTTACTTTTTGCTGCCTGCACATGGCAGTGGCTTTTAGCCAAATACTTGTGACTGTCAGCAAGTTTCCCTGAGATGTGGAATGGATTTGGGTAATAAATCACAGTCTCATTTTTACATATAACCTAGGCAGAGCAGAGTGGCAGAATTAGCTACTATTCAAAGAAGAGTATCCTTTGTTTAACAGACCAGTTTTAAATGCAAGGGATGTTTTAATATGCAAGTATTGCTCTTATTGCCCAGCACAATTAATATATATACTTTTACAATACTATACAGTATTAGTACAATTACTATAGTACAATTACTATATACAATTAATATAAATACTATATATTTATTTACACACGCACACAGTTTTCAAGATTTCCCTTGTATTTCTATAGAAATGTTGTTTTACAATCCAAACACCTTGACACTACAAAGAATGTATTGATCTGTTTATTAATATGCTGTGTACAAAAGTTATTAATTTTAACAGAATAGAATAGAAAAACTGTTTGACAGAGGTGCATCTGAAGCTGTTGCCTATTTCTCTTCTATACATGTTGTCTATTTTTCATCTTACTAGATTTACATCCAGTCTGGAATCTGGCTGAAGTGTAGAAATGCAGAAGAAACTCCACATATTCTATTTATGAACTAGTCAATGTGCAGGCAATTTGGCAGTTTGACTCTAGTGGAGGAACATGATAGGGAAATGTGATCCACTGTATTTTAACACCAAATATCTTTTACAGGCTAATGAAATACTGCAGAAGGTGGTTACATTTTTTTGTTTGTCATCCTTTTGTCTAGCTACTTTGAAAAGCAGAAAGCAGAATGGCAGACAGAACCACAGGAGCCTCCCATCCCAGAGTCTCTGGCTGCAGCTGCAGCAGCTGCCCAACAGCTGCAGGTGGCCAGGAAGCAAGATACCAGACAGACAGCAACTTTCAGACAGCAGCCACCTCCAATGAAGGTCAGGAGATGGAATGTGCTGGTTTTTCTCTTTTGTCATTGGAATGCATTATGTTTAGAAGGTGATTAATGTTTGTGAAAAGGAAAAATTACATGTCCTGATGGCGATTTTTCCTTGCAGGGTTTCAAAACAAGAGCAAGCAGTAGACTAAAGTAGTAGCACCAGTCATGAAGGGTTAAGGATAAGAATCCTTTAGGATTTAAAAGTCACCCTGAGCAGAGATGTAGGCAATTCCCATTCCTCTGGTGTTTCACACGGGAGCAAGGCATGTAAGAAAGGGAAAAAAAACTTGGCAAAAGAAAAAGTAGTGGCTCTTATTTAATGCCATATGGAGTCATATTAAAAACAGTGCACATATTTTATGGGGGAAAGTACCAATGGTGTAAATTACCAGGAAAAGCGATTGCTTCTGCACTTGGGATCTTCATGAATAACATGTAGATTAATGTAACATAACCACAGGCACTTCAGTGACAGTTTTACTCAGCTCCTTATGTAGTGAGAAGAGTTAAGTAGTTCCACAGGGGTATTCCTCCCACCCAGGTTCCAGAGTCACTAAGAAGGCTAACTGATGTAGGTACACCCCAAAGTAATATACTTACTATCTGTAGTTAGGCAATTGAAAAACCATTCTACAAGTAATAGGCTTCAGTCAGATGTAAATTACAGGGCTTAGTCTGGAGCAAAAGGGCAGAGTTCTGTACCTTGTGTTAAATATGTGGAATTCATCCAATCACCTGCTCCTGCCTTCAATTCTGTGACACTGCAGTTGGCCATCACTGTAACTTCTCTGACTCAGTGAGCTATTAGGCAGGTAAACACCTTTAAAACATCACTGTAACCTTTAACACAAAATAGAATTTAAAGTTACTGATACACGTGTGAGCCACATGTCTGCAGAAATGCAGTTTTAATTCGATGAGATGCTCTGGTTTTCAGTAAGCCTGAAATTACAATCCACATAACCTTGGTTGTATAGAGTGCAGCAGCAGTCTACCTTTGCAGGCAAGGAGCCTTGTTTTTGTCTGTACTGGAACTCAATAACCTGTGTACCAAGGCCACTTTGGTGTTTGTAACCAGAGGCTGCAATTGCATTTCAGGCGTGTTTGTCGTGTCACCAGCAAATCCACCGGAACGCGCCCATTTGTCCCCTGTGCAAAGCCAAGAGCCGCTCTCGGAACCCCAAAAAGCCCAAGAGGAAACAGGATGAATGAAATCCAGAAGATTGTGACAAGCTCCTGTCCCAGTACTCTTCCAGTAGAATGGCAAATTTGCCCAGACTTTGCTGAATTGCAGACTCAAGTATGACTGTCTCATTGTTTTCTATTTAAATGCAATGTAAGCACAATGATCCTGCTCTAAGTTCCTTCCAGTCTTTAGGATTTGGTTTTAGGAAAGTAAATATTACTGGTGCTACAGTTTAACATTTCAATTGCTCCATCTTTTGTACTCCTGAACAAACTGGAATTCTTTGTGCAAGTATCCTAAATGTCAGGCTATTTCTATTGACCAAATGTGATTGCCACAAATGCTTTTATGTTCTCTTTTTAAAAAACAGATGTTACTAAAAGATTATTCTCTTTTCTCCTGATAACAGGAGACTATTTCAAGTGCTGAAATAGCAGACTGTCTGTTTGTTTCACTGAAGAACAATTTGTTCTCCAATCTCGTAAGACTGGGTAGGTTTGGGTATCCAATGGAACTGTTTTTACACAGGAAATGTTCAGGGAAAACGAGATTTGTTATACAGAATATCAATGCATTAAGGACACACATGGGTTTTGATTTACTGAAGTTGATTGTACCATTCCCTCAAACTTGACTTAAAACTTGGAAAGGTGCTGGCTGTGTATGAATTTCTAAAAATGTTGTAATTTGTCATGCTTTAACATCTTAACAGGTTATTATTTTCAGCAGTCTAAAGACTGACTGACTTAAGAGCAAGGCTGAAGTGAGCTCTGTTAGTGATCCTCCTAGGCTTTAAGGCTGACCAATGCACTGTGGTTCTCTAGGAAACATGCATGATACATCCCAGATCTCTGTGTGCACAGACTGCACATCAGCCATTCTGCATGTCTTCTGTTCCTGGTTTCTACAGCCAAAATCCGGCAGACGTGTCCTCCACTGGAGCATAGGAAAGCTCAGGAACATGCATGAGGAACAGTGTCAACTAAAAATTATGTGTTTCACCAGAACCAACAAGCTTTGGTGTCATTGTCCTCCCTCAACCAAAGCTTTCTATTTTTCTGTCTTTTAATAGGTCATTTTCAAATAAGCTTTACTTCAGGCCAGTTTGTTTTCTTGTTCCCTGTGTGCCAAAAGAACCCTGACTACAGCATCTGGAGTAGATCACTCCCTGTATGTCTTCCCTTTGTTTCATGTAATTTAACAACAGCTCTTGCTATGAGGAGGATGGCAATGATCCACTTACAGAACTGGCATTTGAAATTTACTCATCTCTAATCCCAGTTTTGTCACCACCTTTGTTGCCTAAATTGATCTCAAGTGTTAAATATTCTTTTCACTAACTCTGGGACACAGGAAGTGCTTGTTCACACTCTTCTCTTTAGCCCAGGTTTCTCTCTATATTATGTTAGAGTGGTTATATTGGGAATTTGGCTTGTTAGACAGGAAGAACAGGGAAGCCCCAAGTCTCTGCTCCAAGAACTTTGCCAAATGTTGGCAACTGTAATAAATCTACATGATGCAATTTTGCTGGCCAAATCACATACGTCACCATTAATTTCCTATGTCTGCCACTAAGTACATGAGTGATTTAGTGAAAAATCCTGAAACTTAAGCCAGGTTCAGGAGATATTCCCCCATTTTAATGTTACATGGTCAAATCAACATCTGCCAACAGCAGGCACAATGTGAACCACCTACCCCCGAAATTATGTGAAAAGCAGATTCTGCTAGCTGAATTACAGGGATTTGGTCTCTGAGACAGCAATAATGGAAGACAGTCTCCATGCTCCAAATGGCAATAGTGTGTTATACATGTTTTGTGGCACAAATACTGGATTTTACTGTTTCAAATGTCAGGGTGGTCTCATGCTGTGTGCTCTGTTCAGAGCAATTCCTATGGAGTTGAAGGGAAACTGCACAGAGTTAAAAGACAGTATGTGGGCTTCCCCAAAGTGCATACAGGAGAGCAGCATACTTTGATGGTGGTTGTACATAAATTTAAGAAGTAGTGACAATGGAGTGGGTGAATGGTCTGCAATGAAGTAGTGTGAATAGGAGGATTGATTTGTAGAGACTTCTGCTTACAGTTCTGAAATAAGTAGGGTTAGTCATAGTTGTTCTCCCTTTACTGTTACTTTGCCAGGTTCTTTCTTTCTTGGGAGATCCCTGAACTGAAGTATACTTAAGGATGCACCATTTACTAATTTAGTACACAGTTTTGTACTTTTACTTTTTTAAACTAGTCTCATGTTCTCTTGTGTTTTACAAGGTTAGGGTTTGTTGTTTTTTTTAAAAAGTGAATCTGACACACTGTGTTTGCATCAATTGTACTAGTATTTACCAATTTTCACATCCTTTACAAAGGATATTCTGCCACATGAATAGCATGCATTGCTGAGGGTGAGTAACTGGAGATAAGTCAGCAGGGTGCCCTGGCTGCCAAAAGGACCAACCACAACCTGGGGTACCTCCAGCACAGCATTGTCTCACTCTGCCAGCTGATTGTCTCACTCTGCACTGCACTGGGGGGGCCTTGAGCACTGGGGGCAGCTTGGGGTGCCTCAGTGCAAGAAGGACATCAGACTGTTACAGTGCTCTGGAGTCACCTGTGTGACCAAAACTGCAGAAGGTCTCAAGGACAAAACCTCTGAGGAGCAGCTGAGGACATTTGGCTTGTTCAGTTTGGAGGAAAGAGGGCTGAGGGGTGCCCTCATCACAGCCTACAACTTCCTCCAGGGGAGGAGGAGGTGCTGATCCCCCTCTGATGGCCAGCAACAGGATATGAGGAGATAGAATGAAGCTGCATTGAGGGAAGTTCAGGCTGGACACCAGGAAAAGGTTCTTCCCTGACAGAGTGGTTGGTGACTGGCCCAGTGACCCAGGGAAGTGGCCAAGGCACCAAGCCTGTCAGGGTCTGAGCATCACCTGGATTTCACTCTCAGCCATACAGTTTAATGCTAGGCAGTTGGACCTGATGATCCTTATGGATCCCTTCATACTTGAGCTATTCTGTGATTCCAGCCATTTCAGGAGGTAAAATATGTGTTATGTATGAGGGGACCATGGGGGTGGGGGCAGGGAGGGAAGCAGTGTCTCTCACAGGGAAGGAGTTCTCTTTTCTCTCACGGAACAATCACAGAAGTTTAACTGAAGAACTTTTCTCGTGACAGCCCCAGGCTCTTTTCTCCCAGGCAACTCTCTCAAGAGACTGGAGGAATAATTAGGAAATATTGATTTCTTGGTATTCAGACAGAAGAGGAAGCTGTCTGATGTACAGCTCTTAACAAAAGTCTGCTGCATTTTTGCTTAATGGAGCAACAATGGCTTCTTCGTTTGTGTCTGAAGTCTTTGTGGATACTTCTCCACTTCACTTAAATTTATTCTTATTTGGGTCAAATTGTCTGAGTAGCCACAATGAGACCCTCCTCAAAGCTTAGGAGACTTTTATGTTACTGAAGTCTGGTTTAACCCTGTCTTTGTGGTTCTGTTTTTAAAAGGGTATCCATGTTACAACAAAAGAACTGGATTTTCTTGGTAAAGATGGTTTCCAGGGTCTTTGTTCATCACTTGCCTCAAAGGATAGTCCTGTTGTTCTGCAACCAAACAGAAAAAAACCAAAATCCCAATCCTTTCACCCTACCATCAACCCTAAGATCATAAGTAAAAGGATGCAAACACTGTACTGCATCTGAATGCTTTGCTAGAGAAATTTTCATACCCAAGCTGGGGTGGATCAGTTGTCCAAACTTTAGTGTCAAGGACACATTAACTACAGAGAAAATGTAAGGCAAATTTAAATACTTGCACTTCCTGAATTCAACCTTAGCTTTATAAAAGGACCCTGACTGAACCTGACAGTGGCTTCAATTTACATAATATAAATTTGAAAGAATAGACATTGATGTGTTACTTTAAATAGCATACTATTCAAGAAGTTGGGACTTCACTAGCACTTTAAAGAAATAAAAAGTGCTTTATTCTTTTATTTTACAGTTTTCTAATTCCTCCAGCATACATTTTCATTTTCGTATTTAGGTATTCTAGCAATATCTGGTATTTTCACTGGCTTCTGTGTTTTAAGTATTTTACTCCTGTGCCTCATAGGAGTAACAGTGTGATTTTAATTTGTCTGTACAGTCCTTTTAAATAAATGTATGTTTCATGTCATGCTTTCTTCCTGCAAAGTACTTTCACATCTGTTATTTGCTTATGCTACTAAGAAGCCCAGGTGGTAAAACTCAGCTCTCTGATTTTACAGAATAGCCTCAGCCACAATTCTGTTATACCTTTATAGAAACTTTATGGAAATAAATATGCAGTAAGAAAGATCCCTTCAAATAAGCTTCAGAAAATAGAAAGGAAAAGGAGATAGCAGAACAGGTTTTAACCTATGTCTCTGGGTCACATTTTTTGTTTTGTTCCTACAAATACAGATACATAATGGGTTTAAAAATACACATACATCTTCTTTACATATAAATTATTAAAATGAAACAGTAAAGGGCTTGAAAAGGGGAGAAAACAGGATTTCTGTGCAGGCAGCAGGAGCAGCTCCGCGCGTTTCGTGGCACTGCAGGGCTCAGCGCTCGGGTCGCTGCCGCCGCCTGGGGGCAGCCCGCGGTACTGCAGGCCCAGAGCGGCACTGCGCCCCCGAATGCGCCTGCGCGGCCACTCGGACGCCTCGCGGGCGCCCCCTTCGCGTCAAAAGCGGGGCTGCAGCCCCGAAATGTGAAGGTGACCGTCACAGCGACCTGACAAGCGCCGGGGCTTTGTACACTTTGTACACTTTCTACGCTTTTTACACTCTGTACACTCTATACACTATTTACCCTTCCTACGCCCAGTGCTGCCGCCGGAGGGAAGCCGCCGGTACTGGAGCACGGCGCTGTCCGTGGCCGCCGCCGCCTCCCGCCGGCCCCGCCGCTCTCCCGGGCCCTGAGCAGCGCGGCCGCACCGCGTTCCCCCCGAGCAGCGTAAATCCAGCACCCAAACCCACCCAAACGGCCTCCCCTCCGAGCCGGGCAAAGAAATCCAGCACCCAAACCCACCCAAACTGCCTCCCATTCCGAGCTGGGCAAAGAAATCCAGCACCCAAACCCAAAACTGCCTCCCATTCCGAGC